AAAGAATTAAGAGAAAAAGAAGAGTTAGTAGCCAGAGGATTGAACTGGATTCTGGAAATGAAGTGGCAATTGTTACAGTAACTTTCTCGATAATTAGGGTAATATATAAACTGTAAGGACGTGTACCTGATGGACACTGGAGAGAGAACAAGAGTTTAGAAAACATTGGGAAGCCGATGGTCAAGGTACTGAACAAAACTCAAACACTGTAAGGGGAGAAGCATAGGAGAATAACATAGAAAGGAAAGCACCAAGTTGTCAGTGAATAAGAGAGACACTCAAAAAGAATGCCAAGCACAACAAAAAGTTCTGTTGGATAGCACTGTTTTAATGTAAATTATAAAGCGGTCATGTTGAAAATGACATTTAAAACTTTAAAAGAAGGCTAAGGAAGATGGTTCAGCGGTTAAGAGCACTTATTGCTCTTCCAGAGGACCCAAGTACCCATTTCAGCAGATCACAACTGCCTGTAACTCTAGCTCCAGAGTATCCAAAACCCAAGTCCCTATAAGCACCCATACATACATGTGGCAGACACATGCCCAGATACAGGAATATAAATAAAAATAAAACTTTTTTTTGAAAAGAGGGGAGAGAAGGAGAGTGGAGATTCTAAACCTCCAAGTTTCACTTTGCTAGTCTAACAAGACCCTATGGAAAGGATAGTGAGAACTGCAGAGTGTACAAAGACTTTCCAAGAACCACACAGGTATATAATATGTAATAACCATAAAGCATTTTCTAGAGAGTACTTTAAAAGGCAAAGCAAGGGACAGCGAGATAGCTCAGTGGGTAAAGATGCTTCTTGCCAAGTGCAATGCCCTGAGTTTGACCCCCAGAGCCACATGGCAGAAAGAGCGAACCAACCCCCATTAAACTGTCCTCTGACCACTCCGCCACACACAAACTGTAATAATAAAAATTAAAAACAAAGTTTTCACTTTTTCTCTGGCAACATCAAGATGATACTCATTGTGATGAACAGCAAACAAAGCAAGCAGAACACTGTCCAGAATTCATTCAGCTGCTGACAACACTGCCAGAGAGACTCCCTCATGAAGACATCCTCCGATCACAGCATGGCTCCATGACAACTTACTATCATTAACTCTAGACTTGGAGTGTTTGTATACCTTTTGCAGGTGCACAATGTACATCAGCATGTTGAAGACATCCAAAAGCTGGCCATTCCAGAAACTACTTGTCTAATCCTGGACTTCATAATATCATTTTTCTTCTTTTTTAATATTTTATTTATTATTTTTACTTTATGTGTACGCGTGTGTTGCCTGCATGTAGGTAAGTGCACCCATGTCGTGCAATGCCTGCGGAGGACAGAAGATCTGTCAGATCCCCTGGAACTGGAATTATAGACAGATGTTAGCTGCCATGTGGGTGCTGGGATTCAAACCCAGGTCTTCTGCAAGAACAGTCAGTGTTCTTAACTGCTGAGCCATCTCCCCAGCCCCCATATCATTTTTCTAATGAAGTATTTTTTTCCTCTACATACATATTAACAAAGTAAGCTTTGATTAAATACTTAATGGTTCATAAGCCAGAAATATACTGTGGCAAATCAAACTAAAGCATAAAATTAGTTTCTTTAAAAAAGTTGGAATGAGCCAGGCGTGGTGGCACATGTCTTTAATCCCAGCACTCGGGAGGCAGAGGCAGGCGGATATCTGTGAGTTCAAGGCCAGCCTGTATATGTATTGCGAGTTCCAGAGCTGGGGCTACAGGGAGACCCTGTCTCAAAAAGACCAAAAAAAAAAAAAGGTTGGAATGTTGCTTTCATAAAAGAAATATTCACATTTATAAAATAATTTAAACTAAATCAGGGCTAAAGGAAAAAAATTAAGAAAGAGACCTCAGTTTTTCACTCTAGACACCAAATAATTCAGGCACATGGAAGATTCAGTTGAGTATATAGACAGATGCTAAGACAGCACATGTCTGTACAAATGCTAGCTCAGTATAAGGGCAAGCACAAACTATGTATCTCTTCCACACTGTTAAGTTCCAATACCTGTTTCCACAATATTTTCTGTTTCCGTCGTCTCCAGTCCATCCATGCTGTCTTCATCTTCAACTGTAGATTTTCCTCTGCTTCGAGGCCTACAGCAAAGAAATAAATACATATAGTTAAGTACTAGAAATTTCTTCCAGTGGGTTTGAGATAGTTTCACTATTTAGCCCAGGCTGGCCTCAGGCTCTCAATCTTTCTGCCTCAGGCTCCCGAGCGCTGAGATCCAAAGCATGCACCATAGTGCCCAACTATCAAATTTTAAGGCCTGCACTATACACCATGATAAAGCAGAATTGAAAGGAATATAATTTTGGTGTTTTCCAGCATTATACCACATCAATAAATATTGAACATTTTCTTCCTTAAGCCTGAATATAAGGACAGAACCAAGTTAATACATATCCAGTACTGTTCTGGATCCTTCCCCTTCTTGAACTTTCAGTCTGCAGTAGCAGCTTTTAAATTCCTGATTCTGAAATTTTTTTTTTTTTTTTTTGAGACATGGTCTCCCTGTAGCCCCAGTTGGCCTGGAACTATGTAGACCAGGCTGGTCTCACAGAGATCCATCTGCCTCTGCCTCCCAAGGGTGGGATTAAAGGAGTATGCCACCATACCCAGCCTCAAGTTCTTTTCACTTTTTTTGTCTGCATGTATTTAAGGGCACCCATGCTTGCTATGTCTGCAGAGGCCAGGAGAGGGCAACATATTCTCTGGAACTGTTATGAACAGCTGTTAGTCACTATGTGGGCACTGGGAACAGAATCTGGGTCCTCTGTGAAAGCAGCCAGTATTCTTAACCCCTGAGCCACCTCTTCAGTCCCACAATTTCCACTTTTAAATAGGAGAGTAAGGCAGGAGATTCGTAAGTTGGATGCAGGTAGATGCAACATAGCAAAAGTCCTACATCTAGAGGGAGGGAGGGAGGGAGGGAGGATAGAGCTGGGAGGTGAGTATTGGTGTTCAGTTTGAAAGTGGCCTGGGCTATATGGTAAAATCCTGCCTCAAAAAATATCGCCCCAAAAGTGGTACTGTTTTTTTGAAATCTTGTATACATTTATGAACGAGAAACCAGCTTATGTGTATGTCTATTCCAATCTAAGAACAGCTAATTCCTGCTTGTGCAAAATTTCATTTCTGAACTGGGAGGGAGGGAGGGCATTGAGGCTTGGGGGGTGGCTAAGAAAACAAGTGCCTGAGGTTCAGTTCTCTTGTCTCTTCCCATGACTGC